AGCCATATCCTGAACACCTGCACGCTGTTAGGAGGAACGCTCCGTGCTGGGAGTAGACAAACTTGCCTTCGTGTGTTTCATGCATGAATTCGAACAGCTTGTTAACCACCGTCTTTAAAAACTTCCAGTGCGCCTTCAGGAATCTGGGATACTGTCCCACAATATACATAATGTTACTAGCGACGACGGCTTTGTTGTCCTTTCCGCGCTTCATCTCAGTCAGGCCAAGTAAATCCTTGATGACATTGACCAAGAATCTCTTCTCAGTCTCTTCGTTCATCGCCCCGGAGATTGACCCAATTGCCCAGCAGAGAGTATTACAATTGTTCCAAGACCACTCGGACCCGTCAACCTGCTTAGCCAGCTTCTCGATCATGATGTTTTCTGTGTCGACAACGTCCAGATGAGTGAGATAAACCAGGCATTCGCGAATTGTCTTGTAGAGCTGGATAGTATCGCTCTCCTTGACAAATTCGCGAACGATCTCGCCCTCGTCGTTCTCGACAATGAGAACTTCTTCGGGCCGAACGATCTTCTCAATCATGACGGTACGTAGGCTGGAAAGGACCTCCTCGTATTTGTGTTTGCGAAGGGTGTAATTGGCTAAGGTGCTGGGATGCGGCGCGCCTCCGTTTGACAGCCCGCTTACACCCATGCTCACCAGTGGATTAATGTCGGTGATCGGAAGCTGTTGCATCTCCTCATAAAGCTCTTGCACCAATTTTGTCCAATATTCCAAGCAGATTTTGAACACCTCTCTGTCATCGATTTGACTGATACGAATCAGGTAGAAATGGGCGTGGGTGAGGTAGTCACGATTTGGAAGCGTCTCAACAAGCTTAATATGGCAAGAATATCAGTGCCCGGGGGAGAACCGACGGAGGTAGTGGGAACTTACATTGAGATGAGCACTAAAGAAGCTGCAGAGAAAAAGAGCCAGATTGAGAACGAACTCCTGATCTCGCGAATTGCTCTTGGAATATGTTGACTTCAAATCCATCGAGAGAGGTATGATTGTGGAGACAATCGTTAAGGTCTCAGTGAACATACGGACCAACTGATCATCGTAATTATAAGGGTTGCCGATCTGCAGCCCACCGATCTCTGTAAGGCATTTAAGAGTTACATTGCGGTACTCTGCATTGCCCAGAAAGCGGGTCAAGAGCGTATTAATTATGGACGTTTCGAAAATGTATCCGAGCGGAATCCAGTTCAAAAACCGAAGGAGGGTCTCCAGTGTAGCTTTAATCAAAGTCGTCTGGTTCGCATTATCCAACACTTGGGAACACAACTGGAAGATGGAGGAGAATTCGTGGGTCATAGAGGTCTTCAGGTTCCTCGCTTTCACAGAAGTCATTTGGTCCTGAGAAAAATCGAAAACCTCCTCAGACAACAAGCGGAGGATGGTCATGTTGTTTTCGCAAACTGATAGGCTCGAGTGGCACGATGAAATGATATCGTTTATGAATGTTGGCCAGTTGTGCGGCCATTCTTGCTTCAAGATCGAAACTAGCACCAGGTTAAGCTTGTTCAAGAAGACACGTTGGCTTCTCAGCTTTTCCTCTGTTTCGGAGTTATCAAGGATGAACTGGACGATAAAATTCCGGATGCCTGGTAAAAGTCAGATAGTTCCCTATGCATCTTCATGACACGGTCTTTACCTAGGCACTGCTCTCTCGGCAGAACCTTCCATCGTGTCATGATCACATCATCGAGGACTTGAAGAGCAAGATCTAAGCAGAGTCAGTACCCCGCAGGTTTTGATGTACATAATGTCAGTATCGTACATTTAGTTTGTGGATATGAGGATTCTTGGAGGATATTCGCTGCGAGCATCCAGGCGTCTTCATTTTGTTTGAACTGAGAATCAAGCACGGATCAGCAAAACCCTCCTAAGATATGCCAGTGAAAGTTGTTCACTTACATCAGTCAAGGTCTGCTCGGCTTGTTTTTGCTGTGTGTGGTAGAATTGGCGCAGATTAGTGAATCTGGGGTCTCTCGAGTTCGAGGAGTGGCGGATGATAACTCACCAAGTCGCCCTTGCCCTCATAGAAGGCCCGGACAGTGTTGTCCAACTCCTGTATGGAAACAGACATCCCGCTCGAAAATTTGACGTTGCTGTTTGGGATTAACCTCACTCAGCCTTCGAGGAGGAACGAAACAGAGTGAGTTCGAATATCCCGAGAAGACTGTGGATTAGGGAAGTGCTGGAGATAGAGCAGGTGGGCAAAATGCTTTGGCGGGGTAAGAGGCTTCCTTGGAGGGGTTCGACGGAGGTAAGGAGAGCTTGGAGCAATCTACAGTTTGAAGATGCACCATTCACAGGGGGGCTAGAAAAGTGGGGTAAATGAACCGCGAGGCAGGAGTAGCTTAAACTGAGGGTTCTGGCTTTGGGATAAGGATATGATGTCTGACGGTAGACTAAATTCAGCAGATGTCTGGCGGTGAGAAACAGCGCGTTCCTCGGGGTGTTGGCGGCTCACTTCTTGGATTAGCTAAGTAGCTAACCACACACTACTTCACCGCTTTCAGGAATACTGCCGCCGGAGCAATCTTCGTGCTGCCATGTCCCTGCGGCACGCTGCCAGGTGGGCTTGGCGGCTTTACCTCAAACTACGACGCTCAAAACGCCTTCATCACCTGAAGTCAAGAATTCAGCCTGCGTATGACAGTGTAACTCTAAACCTCCAGAATTCTTTAACAGTTCCTATCACCCGCGGTACTTCACACAGCCTTTGAAGTCTTCTATGTATTATGAACAATTTTCTTTTTGACATGTTTGAAGGATATACTGAACAATAACATTGCAATGGATGAGCTTTACCATATGAAGTGACTTATCGTAGAGAAGCTTACGAGCATAGTGGGTTGGTTTCAGGACAGATGCCGGATTGAATATAATGGATTAAGTCAACTAATGCAATTATATGACTTCCTCATAACACAGAGGCTGTGCTCACCTTTATCATCTCCTCGGCAAGCGAAGGTGTGAGTGACTTTGCTGAAGTGTGTATTACTGGTGTGGATTGGTTTGTAAATAGAACCAGGACCAGAACCAGCCAGCAGCAGCAACACCCACGCATCAACCGCGTTCATAGTCTGCCTGCACCAATCGCGGGGGGAGGAAAGGTGGCCAACATTGTGAGCGAAGGAGCCACCAGCAGCGGATAGGCTTACACGTTGCGAGGTGACCTGGAAGCGACTAAGGTACTAACCCGAGCTCCGTACTAGTAGCTACCATAGCGGCCAAAACTAGCCTACCGGAGCGCACAGGCGGTCGGTCGGCCTCTACCTAGGTACGGAGCGGGTACGCAATCTCTTACCGCGCTTCCCTCGCGCGGGAGGCGTTAGGTTCAGAAGCCAGTTAGGAACTAGACTCCTCCCTACTGCACTGGGGACTTATAAAAGACCAATGAATTTTAACCGTGCTTGAACAGAAAAGCCGAGTCATTACTTGTACATAACCTACCTAGGTACAGCACTCAAGTAGTAAATCCTGATAAAGGATTAACTTAGTAGTAGTTAACTACAGTAAACCTGCCCACTCCCGAATCGGTACTACATACTGAGAAATAAGTTAGTGGTTGCCACCGCAGCTCCTTCGCACCCCCATGGCCGATCGCGCGCCTACCCTGTCCGAGCTCTCCCATCAGCCAGCTGGCAGCCGCAGTCTTTCGCTTCGGAAGAGTACTCATACGTACTCAGTATTGTACATGTACTTTACATATACAGTACATAATATGGCATACCTAGTACGGAGTACTACTACAAGGATAACTGAAGGCTTCTTTGCTACAACTACATCAAACTGTCAGTGAACTTCAAGTCATTAATGAATGTGCAAGTCCTTTGATCTTACTCAACCCCCTTTGTGACCCTTCCCCCCTCACCACTGACTTAAGTCTCCTGCCAATTCATCCTCTTCCCCCCCCTTGGTTAATTCCTCTCCTCCCGTTGCCAGTCCTGCCCCAGGGTTTCCCCATACATTTATTACCTACCTTGCTCAGCAGCCCTTCTGTTTCTCTAGCTCCAACCCACGGCGGCTTACTCGACAGCTGTCGACAATAACTGTGTCATTGGTTCCTGCATGGATTAACTTGCTTTTCTGTCCCCATCATCCGGCGGCAAAGAGTTTTATACTAATGCGACTCTCTTGACATCTTACTCGCTGATTTATAATTACAGTCGCTTACTTCCACCTTCGTCCATTGACTGCCCTACTTACTAGAGACCTTCCCCCCCTCCCACCTGATTTGACGTTCCTCCTCCCCTCCCCTCTTAACCCTCTCTCCTCTTTCTGTCTCCCAAGCTAAAGACGCAACCCCAAGTCCATACCACTCAATACTACTCAATGCGCAGCTCTCTACGACCGAGACATAGAGCAGTTCCATCATAGTCTTTACCTGACCGCTTCAATCCCAACTTAGACTACCACCTAACCTGAAATTCTGTTGACCACTCCCAGCGCCTCCAATTATAAAAAATTGGCACCTGCACTTCTTCCCTCGGTTTCGGTCGGATTTAACCTCTAGTCTCGATTCTATCTTGGTTTTTTGCACTTCATATATATGCGGAATCAGCACTGCTTTCCCTGAGACCGTAGCGCAAAGTCCCTGATAACCATACAAGCATACATCCGCGGAACGTTTGCTACTCTTGCCTCGCCGATAGCCGAGTATCGGTCGCGATATATGAATGTCTCGCTAGACAAGTGGACTTCAGTGTCACGCGATTCGGTTTGAACCACATCAATATTCCAATCACCTGGGGCACGAATCGCTACCACGACTGGGAGGGTATCTTTGCGCTCTGTCTGAGGGATCATGACCCTCAGTAAATGACTAGTAGGTTTTACGACAAGTCAATGACTGGCATTCCGTGCTACAATCGTGTTTGAATGGCGACGACGATTCCTGAATAATCATATCTTCATTCGTCTCATACTTGATATACTTTCACTGCCTGGTTGGATCTTTGGTTCAGGCAACTACAATTGGATCATGACTACCGTGGCATCCGCGTCGGTGATGCATGACCACGAGGCCGAGAAGGAATCGAAGGCAGAGAACAGCCCTTCGCGATTCACAGCAGTTAATGGCAAAGAATCGTTGGGCAGTGGCACAGCCACTCCTATCACAAGCACAAGCAGGATCTCTGCGCGTGAGAATCCGACTCTAGAGAGTTCCGCCTCTGACCGAACCCCGAAAAATGGTGCTCATGCTCCTTCGCGACACGATGAGTCTCCGAGGAATCCTGGGTATGCAGAGCGGGATAGCGCCGAATGCGACCAGGATGACCAACGATCACGCCGTTCATTTTCTTCCGCAGAACCCCTCGGCAGAAGTAAGCGCAAGAGATCGGATTCAAGAGAAGAGCATGAAGGCCACAGTATATCTCATAAGGCACCTAGGAGCCCAGACCCACGCCCAGACGACAGCATAGCATCAAGCATTCAGCCGTCTCCGTCGAACGGCGTTGTAACATCTCAAGGAGAATCCGATGTCAAACAGACGCCTACTCATTCTCGACTGGACGAAAACGGCGACATTCGCACAACATTAACAGGCACAGCGTGGAATGAGATCGATTCTCAGTTAATTAAGCAAGCACAGCGTGCGCAGCATCTCGATGCTACGGACGCCCAACTGGCAGAAGCGCTTCAGCGAGAGGCCAATGGTCATGAGTCGCCGAAAGGTTGGAGCACTAGCAACCGTCCAACGGAAAGTTCTGTGCAAAGTGAACAGTCCGCCTCGATGCCAATAATTTCACAGGAGCGGGCACACCCTGCTGTTCAGGTCGCACCAAAACGAAAACGTGTTTTTAGTAATCGAACCAAAACCGGCTGCATGACTTGTCGGCGGAGAAAGAAGAAATGCGACGAGCAGCACCCTGCTTGTAAGTCCCATACACTACTACACTTCAGCGTAGAATGTGTTATTTTGGTTACAATGGTCTCAATTCTAATACCACATAGGCAACAATTGCATCAGGGGAGGATTCTTGTGCGAAGGCTACTCGTCTCGGAGCACATGGCAGAAGCCGTCACCCTCAAAGCCACCTGTACCTCTACAATCGAAAGAGGGTTACAACGAAATAGGTAGTCAATATATGCATGATATCAACCAACCACATGAAAGGCCCCCAGCCTTGACGGAACATATAGAAACCAGCAAGATGAGACCGATCGTCGTTGAGGATGCCGACCGTTCTACTTCCCAATTCAGCACCAGTCCAACAGGCGTTAATTCTGGTCGTGGTTGGACTAAGCGGACATGGGGAGGAAGCAACCATCCGGCGTATATGCCGGATCATCTAACGAAGTCAGACTACCGCGATGTTCCATCGATTCATGAGCTATCTCGGGAGGGCCACTCGAAGTCAGATTATGCCATTGTACCGCCAATCAGGGAACTCTCTCACGGCAACCATCCAAAGTCAGGTGCTTCCCTGTTCCAGAGTGGGATCGATCAACGACCGGCACACAGCAGCAATTTAGATACCAGCAGTCCGCAGGCTCAGGCACGCATGGCTTTAAGTATTGAACATCAGCTGTCTGCACGGACCGTATCCGGGGAGGAAACGGAGAAAGAGAAAATGATGCGCGGCGAGCTTTACCGGCCCTACGATGTTCAACTTGTAGAGGAAAGGGACCGTTGTAAGGCTGCCTTATGGAGGTTCAACAATGCGTGCAACCCAGTATCGGGGCTTAGCACTAAGGAACAAATGCGCCTGCTCAGAGAAGTTTTTATCCCCCCTGTCTCGGCATCCAATACCCCTTCTGGCGCTTCCACATCCCGTTCTTCTGGGACGATTGGCCAAGGTGCAATTGTTGAGGCACCTTTTCACTGTCATTATGGTTACAATGTGCACCTAGGTGAAGACGTTATGATTTCCGAGGACTGCCTTTTTGTGGATGACTGCCCCATTACCATTGGAGCGCACACGTGGATCGGTCCTCGAGTCACGATAATCAGTTCGACAGCTCATGCAAATATGCAAGAACGCAAAGGCTCGCAGAGTCGCTATCAAGGGCGCTCCGTTGCTATTGAGGAAGATTGCTATGTTGGCGCTGGCTGTACGATTTACCCTGGTGTCCGTCTTCGCCGCGGTGCATACGTTGCTCCAGGTGAGGTGGTAAAGTCCGATATAGTAGCCTATGGCTTTCAGGGGTTGAAGCCTGGGTATATGTGATGTATGGAAATCAACTGGCATGACGGAGAGACATGTTCTTTACTATTGAAATAGATTGCTGAAGTATGTAAGCTCTGAGTTTCATTGAACTGTCTATCATGCTAGTTAAGAGGAATGAAACCTACACAGTATGCTGAGTCTCCATGCTTTGCCCACGTTGGAAACCAACTCTATATTTAAGCTAAGTGTATTAGTGCTTGCTCTTGAACAAACAACATGTTCTACTCGTCGGGTTAATATGACTTTGGGAGTTCGGTTCGGTGCAAAGAGTTCGGTTCGGTGCACATTGAGCAAACATGAAAACCCGTGCAACAGGTGGTGGGTCACCCATTATATCATACTTAGTGCAGACGGACTTTGCATTCGGCCGGGTTCCCTCATCGAGGGGACCAGTGAATATAGGCTTGTATCAAGGCTAGGCTTCCGAAGAAAGACATACAAGGGAGAAAGCACCTCCCTCACATAGGGAAGTTGTATGAGATGGAAGGTATCGCAGATTCCCGCGCTCAGACATGGCCCCGAAGCATGGTCATAGCCAATCCAAAAACTCTGGGACAAAGTAGCTCACAACAATTCCTGCACCAGCTCTCAAGATGCCTTCTGTACTCTCAAACGCCATAGATTTCAGATCGAACACGCCAGCTTTTGCCCCTGCATGTATCATGGCATATTCGCCACTAACTTGATATGCTGCGATGGGCATGTCCTGCGCAAGCTCTTTCGCGTCCCTAATTATGTCCAAATAACTGCTCGCGGGCTTTACCATAATGATGTCAGCGCCCTCACTAATATCCCTCTGTATCGCTCGCCTAGCAAGTCCCCTACCTCCGGGAGGCAGCTGATAACACCTGCGATCACCAAAGGAGGGGCATGAGCCTGCTGCATCGCGGAAAGGACCGTATAAGCATCCACTGAACTTCGCGCTATAGGACATGAGGAGGACCCGATGAGCCATACCAGCCTCAATCAGCTTGAGTTTTATGGCGCGTACTCGTCCATCGTTCATGTCCGACGGAGCAACGCAGTGGGCGCCTGCTGCAGCGTAGGCCAGAGCGACATCAGAGATTCGATCGACGGACTGCGCATTATCTAACGTGCCATCTTCGCGAAGAATCCCACAGTGACCATGAGATGTATATTCGCAAAGACATACATCAGTAACGATATAAAGCTGGGGAAAACGCGATCGAAGGAGGCGGATGGCCTGGACTACTGGCCCGTTCGGATCGTCCGCGGCAGTCCCAAGAGCATCTTTGGCGGACGGGTGCAATGGAACTCCAAAAAGGATTACAGATCGCAGTCCTTTGTGGACAAGGGGCCTCAAAAATGGAACCAGGCGGTTCAATCCTCGACGGCATTGATTAGGGAGTGACGGAATTGGCGTCTCTTCATCAGGATTGTCCGTAATGAAGAGCGGATAAATGAGCATTTCCTGTAGCAAATTAGATTGTATCACTAAGCTCCTACATGACTACCGACCTTGGTAAGTTGCTTTTCGGCTTGCCATGATCTGCTTAAAGGATGGCTGTAGCCTGAGTGAAGCTGGCTGGAGATATCACCAGATATGCTGACGCTGGTGGCGGCTGTACTGGTATAGGAGCGAGCAGTGGCCTGGGATCGGGCGTGGGATATTTGGGAACTTCGGTCGTCATGCACATCTCGGAAGGCGAGGTCTGAGACAAGATTGGAGAAAGACATGGCTAAGTAGCAATCTCCGGTCTATTGCGATATTGGGATATGACTCGTGATGATATATGTTGTAAGTGGGGAAAAAAGAAAGAAATCCACTATTGCAGACACTTCACTTCAGTTTTGATATGCTTTTGAGATTTGGCCACCAAAGGCCGTTGTGAGACTTCTTAGTCAGTAGTATTACATATAAACCAGTATGATTCGCTGCGGACAGTATTGACAGGGTACCACCAGCTCAGAGAGGGTCAGAGCTTAGTGCGGAGAGATCAGAACTATGTGTCCCCTCCCCCCGGGGCAGCCTTTCCGGTCCCCTCAGAGCTCTTGTTATGCGTGTGAATATTGTGGAACACTGAAAAAGAAAAAGTGTATCTGAGAAGTGTTATGGATAACCTTCAAATACATAGCAGATTGTCAACAGTCTATCTATACATCCTCTGCATAATAGTTATAATATTAATAATTCTTGATTTATTAATACTTAATCTCTAAAATCTTACTAAATTTTAAGTACAAAGAACTAGTCCTAAAATAAACAAGCTACTATTATTTTATATTTAATTTATTTATTTTTTAATAATTGTGATTCTCTTTAATTATTTTTAAGATATAATAATATATTACTAAAACAGCTTTATATAATTATAATAGTTCAAAATTTAAAAAAATTTTCATTACTAATAGCTTCTATTTTTGCTATTTTTAGATTTTTTAAATAAAAAATCTTATTATAGATAGAATATTAAAATAGTATATATTATTTTTAAAAATATTCTGCTGTTCTGTTATAACTACTTTTTATAAAGATAATTCAGAAGGTTTAAAAAAATCCAAAAAAATCTAAAAAAATCTAAAAAAATCTAAAAAAATCTAAAAAAATCTAAAAAAATCTAAAAAAATCTAAAAAATCTAAAAGATCTAATCATTTTGGTTAGTTTGATTAATTTTGAAAATTTAGTTTATCTGATTTACTAAGCTTATTTAACTAATTTAATTTATTAATCTGATTGATTTTATTTGATATATTTATTATATTTATTTTATTTACTTTTTAATGTCATATTTGTTTATCTATTACGATATTCTACTGTTTGTTCGTGCCCGTCTTTCTTACCGCCCTGGCGGCGGAACTTTAATATAGTCGATTTCTCTGTTTTTTATTATTTATAATAATTATTATAATCAACTATATTAATTATATTAAGTTATATTTTATCAATTATATTTAATAGTATGTCCTATATAGAGTGGCTAACGACCAGATCAGATTAGATTAATTAAAATTTTTATATCTAACTATAATATAACTAAAAGTCAAATAGTTAACTATTTTAATCATTTTTAAGATTAAAATCTATATGTTATATTTTTTGATTGAAATATTCAGATTAATTAGTTATTAATCTAACTATTTTTATTATTATTTGAAAATATATAAAAAAAAGCTTTTAAGTTTAAAAAGATATAATTAAGAAAATTAATATTTTTTATTAATATTTATTAAAAGTAATAAAAAATCTAAATAATATAAATATTATTTAGTTTTTTATAAAAGAGTGGCTGTTTTAATAATAAATATATATGAAAATATATAATTATAATTTTATTTAAATTATATATTTTAATTTTTATATTATATATTAAAATAATTTTTTATTTATTACTAATTAGATTCTTAAAAGTAAATATATAATTTTTTATTTATTATTTTTTTATTTCAGCTCAGATAATTTATTATATTATTTTTTTATTTAGAAAAAGCTAAATTATTTATATTATGAATTAAATATTTAAAAATTATCTATATTGTACTATTTATTAAATTTTTTTAGTAACTGTATTTGTTAGTAATTATCTAATTTAATATTAAATATTATACTTTTTATAAAAAATTGTATAAAAATCTATTTTTTAATTTAGTTTATTATATTTTAATGAGCTTTATCTAGATTTATTTAAAAAAAGAATCTATTTTATAATTTTAAAGTTTAAATATAAATTTTTATTTATTAAATTTATTAAAATAAATAAAATATAACATTATAACAGGTAATTTAACTATATATTAGAATATAATATATTATATTTCTATAAAAATATATTTTGAAATAAAATAAATTATTTTTATAAAATTTATAGTTTTTTTTATACTTATCATATATAAAATAGCTTTAAAATTATAAATCAATCATAATTATTTAATTTATTTTTGAAAAATATTATTAAATTTTTTTTTAATTTTTATAAACTATAATAATACTTAAACTAAAATAAATTTTTTAATTAGATTTTTTTCCTTTTTTAAATGAATAATAAAAGATAGTTTTTTAAAAGTTTATATATAAGTTTAAAAACTATTATTTTACTCTGATTAAAAAAAGTTATTAATAATATAAAATAATCTTTATAAAAATATATTATTTTTTTAATAAGATTTTTTATATCTACTATATTATATATTTCTAGATTTTATAATATTTAAAAATTAAAAATTTAAAAATTAGTTTTATAAACTATTATTTTGTAAAAATTATAAAAAGAAAATAATATCAGTTATATTTAAATAATTAATTAATTAAATATCAAATAATATATTATTATAGATATTTGTTTATTCTTTAAAAGTAAATTTTTTTAAATTATTATTTTTTAGATTTCTATAGTTTATAATAGACAGAATTTTTAAAATTCAATATTATATTTTATTATTGTTTGTTATTTATTATTTCAAACCATTAAATATATTTAAATTAAATATATAATCAATCTTATTTTTTTATTTTTTTGTTTGAAGACTAAATCTATTTG